GAGAGAGAGAGAGAGAGAGAGAGAGAGAGAGAGAGAGAGAGAGAGAGAGAGAGAGAGAGAGAGAGAGAGAGAGAGAGAGAGAGAGAGAGCACGCGGCTTCGTCTCTGAATCTGGACTCTTTGAATCTGGGGAACAAAAGAGTCCAGATTCAGAAGGAAACTTTCAGTACAGGGGGATGCCCGCTGGGGCGGAGTGAGCTGGTAGGGCCGAAAGGTGTGGGCTGGTGGGGCCGCAAGGTAGAAGAGGCACCGGGCATGGGCCGCCCACCCCTCCATTTTTTTTTGGGGGGGGGGCACCCCGCACAGCTACTTGTGACCGATTGCGCCCCCCTACGAACATACGAACATTTAATGTTTAATCGAACGTTGAAAGCATTCAGGCGTGTGTATAAACGCAACCCTACGGGCTGCGAAGTTGTGAACACTGGTAAATTAATATGCAAAATTTAGCAGCATTTCGTGCAATTGAAATATTTTGTTAATTTTAACAAAACGGGAATTAATTGTTATGTCTATCTGCTTCAAGTTTGAGAAAAGAAAAGAAAAAAAGAAAAGAGCAATAATCAAATAACAATCTTGTCTTGTTTGCTATGTAAGCCGACATGGAGGCTTAAATTCCGTTAATATGTTTTCTAGCATGGCACTGTCTGCTCTGATCAGCACCACTAGCACTACGGGGCCGGTGTTAAAAAAAAAAAAGAAAAAAAGAGCATGGCACAGGAACATGCTTATTTCTTAGCTGTAGGGGAAAAAAAAAAGAAAAAAAAAAACAAACAAACAAACTTTGCGATTAGGGAGTACCATGACAAGCTCAATATATAGAGGGTTCAGTCTCCTGATGAGTCGGTGAAACTCCGACGAAACAGTTTGTCACAGCCCCTCGTTTCTTGTCCTCTTCTCCCTCTTGTCCCTCTCTGCCTACGGTTTACCGTAGGCAGCTCTGTTTGACTATGGGCATGGCATATCGCCACACCACTCTCTAAATGTGCAAAATGAGAATGAACTTCCCTCTAGAACATGGCCAGATGCATCCGCCACAATTTTGTCTTTTTCACATTTCGAGAGTGGTGTGGCGAGGCCCTATATATGTTATGTTGTCAATACATGAGTGTCATTTTGTGAGATTACCCGGATCTTACATCGTGTACTTGCGCAACCACCCCCCATATTACGGGCGGGTGTAGGAGGATTAGCCCCTTGTATTTGGGCGTTTGAAGAGCGAGAAAAAAAATGTTAGAATTTTATGAAAGAGTTTTGGGAGCAAGAATGTGTGCTGAAAATGATATTAAAATCCTATATGCCAATTGTTTCGGTGTGTCGATTGGTCAGCTGATCGACGGACGTGATTGCTCGGCTGAAGCAATGTTGCATGTGAGTGAATTCTTGCAGCCTTTGGCGACTTCCAGGAGCTTGAGCATAGCCACGAACCAATCACTGTTATGTCGAAAGCTGTCTACAAGACCGGGGCAAGAACTTCGGCTGCCAGTCCAAGATGGCGCTGAGACGAGCGGAAATGTACAGCGAGCGGAGCGAGAGGATGTTTTCCGCAGGCGATTGGAAGAAGACCGCAGCAGAGAGACGGCAGGCTCTCACTGTAACCCTTTGAGTTGTCCCTGTTGCTCATCGTCTTCGCGGAGCACGGCTTTCTTGTCGAAGCATGCCACCCTCGGAGGAGCTCGCCAGAGAAGACTGAGAATGCAGCGAGCGTTGCGTAAATTATTCCCGCCGGCAAGAGGGCACTTTTGCAAAACTCGATCTCAAAAAATTGGCAGAAGAGATTGGCAGAATGCGTTTTTTTCCTGGCCCTCTGACGTCTGCTCCAGATTTTCATACTCGTTGTCGGATGGGTGCAAGGACTTTCTTCTGAGATCTCGAACTGATGGACGCGCGGAGGACCTTCTGAGGACTCGACGGTCGAGATTGCGGCAGCAGAACCGCTTCACAGCAGAGCCAGCGGTGGTTGGTTCGCTGCATGATTCGTGCGGAAGGCAGTTTCCGAGAATTGGCCGGCAGCAGAGGACATCAGCGGTCGCAATGGGAGGACGGCTGCTAGACGGCGCAGGAGTGGGTGGCGGTGCAACTTCTCCTCGCGAATCGCACACGATGTCTCTATCTGTCGTATGTCGAGCGTCTTGCACCCTTTCTGCAACCCGCGACTGTCATCGTGCTGCGATGTCGACTGACACTCTGAGGCTGTTGCCCGACGAGGAGGAGGAGGAGGAACAGACTGTTGGGTGCACTTCAGGCGCAGCCACTGCTGTCGAAGAAAGTTACACTCCCTTTGCGCCGTCCCGGAATGACAGGGAGTGCAGTATGGGAACGGAGGAGGAGGTACCGTCGAAGAGGGGTGGAATGGGGAGAACGGGAACGGTGCTGCCCGACGAGGCGTCGGCGATGGTTTATCGCAATCGATTGGGATACCAACCATACGATCCTTCTGCAGCCGTATGGAGAAACATCCCGGAGTCAATTCGATCCATAGCGGAGAAGCTCGCGGCGATGGAGAAGGCTCGAGCAAGTGCCGGCGGCAATGGGGATTCTGCCCATGCTGTTGCTGCAGGTAGTGGTGATGGTGTCGGGGACGTTGACGATGATGATGAGGATAGCGAGTTCGACTCTGATGACGGGGGGATGAGCCATGGCGGTCGTGCTCGTGGAAAGAGGAGGAGGGGGGGATCGAAAACCAAACTCGAGGAGGAGAAAGCCCTTCGGCAGCAGGCCATCGATGAGATCGAGCCAGAGAGAAGACGCCAATTCTTCGCCGCAAGGCAGATTGCTGGGCGGACGCTTGGCACAGTGGGGTACCTCTGCGATGACTGTTGGCTGCCTATGGATGTGTGTATATGTGGGCAATTGCAATCAAGTCAGTTATGGGAGGGGATTCATTTCTGGGTGTACATGCATGCGAAGGATTTTCGGCGGAAAAACAACACGGGGAAACTGCTATGGCAGGTGTTTGGTCCCCGTGCGGCCACCCTGTGCCTCTGCGGAATACCAGAGCACGAGGATCGGATGTGGAGGGAGTTCGCAGAAGCGGGGTGCGGAAGTGTTTACGCCCTCTTCCCCTTGCGGGGGGACGGGAGGTCGACATACACAGTGCAGCAGATCACAGGTGACTGCAGACGGCAGTCGTACGGACAATGCGAAGAGCTCAGTGGTGGTCCCGAAGAGATGGAGGACTCGAGGACAAGCGACGCGACAACGGCAGCAACAGGGACGAGGGAGGAGGAGGAGGGGAAGGAGGAGAGGAGGAGTGTCATCGGCGTCTCTCCGACTGCTGATTGTGGCAGGGGTGATCAGTCTGCACAGTCTGCCAAGGGTAGGGATAGCAATGTGCTCCATTTTGTGCTGCTGGATGGGACATGGAACAACTCCAAGGCCATGCTCCGACGACTTCTGACGAGGTCTGCGACAGAGTGGCCAGGTGAAGAGATGAAGTGCATCTCGCTTTCGCCGACCGTGCCGTCTGTTATGCACGGCCTCAGGCCGCAGCCGTCCCTTGAGAGGAGCTGCACAGCTGCAGCTGCCGCCAATCTGCTACGAGAACTGGATGCATCAGACACACTCTCGTCCTTCCAGCTGTCTCATTCTGCCGATGCTATAGACCAAGCTGTTAAAGTGCTTCTGGACGCCCTTAGCGAACGGCGAGAAAGGCATGGCAAGCCCGCTCTTCGCCTAGGATTGAATAGGCAGATGGGTTTCCAGAGCTAGACAAGGATTATCTCAGCACTGGGTCACACAGGCGTACTATAGTCTTCACCCGAATAGAACGGCCGTTTTTTTCTTTCTTTCTTTCTTTCTTTCTTTCTTCTTCTTCTTCTCCTTCTTTCTTTTTTCTTTTTCCGGGACCATTTTGATGATTTACGCTTGTCATCGTTGCGCAGGGGCCATGCTAATCACCTTTCTCTGTTTTGTTCCAATTTTGACGGATGTGCCCCGATGGACACGGCCAGTCATTATCGCTGTATGTGGACTGAGAGTTGCCCCAAATACAGCTCTAATGACCGGGCGTTCTATTCGGGTGAAGAAGACGGTAGTAGGGACTTAACGTTCTCGGATGTTTTTTTTTTCCGAGCGCAATCGAGGCCGCGATTCAGTTGAAAAAGCCGAGCATTGCGGCAGGAAGCGATGATAGGCAAAGGAAGTTTGTTTTATACCCTTCTTGCAGCTTCAATCTGGACAGCTGATGGAGGGGTCATTGCCCTCCAGAAACTCTCACCCATTTTTACCGTTGCCCTTCAGAAACTCACCCCCGTCTATCGTTACCCTTCAGAAACTCACCCGTCTCATTATATCTCCCTCCCTCTACACCTACCTACCTCTATGTCTTTCCACAGGACTACTCTGTGCGGGGAGCAGTACCCAGGTTTCTAACTCCTACCTTCTTCCCCCAAATACAACGTACGGTCATTATAGCTGTATCTGGACTGAAAGATGCCTCAAATACAGCTATAATGACCGTACGTTGACCGTACGTTGTATTCGGGGGAAGAAGGTAGCGGTAGATGGGGCGAAGACACTCCCCCCAAGAACGAGCAGGGGTGGGGTGGGGTGGGGTGGGGTGGGGGGGGGGGGTTGCGAGCGGGCTATCTCCGCTGATGAACAAGTAGTGCACCACAGGGGTGTGCGGGGAGTCGAATGGACGCTGCGGGGAATCGAACCCACGACCTCCTGAATACCTCTTACGTGCTCAACCCCAACTGAACTAAGATAGGCTGCTGTCCAGAAACTGACCCCCCTGTTTAACAGTGTTCTTCAGAATGTCAGCACTGTAGATTGTTCGTGGTCCTTTAGATCCTATCCGATGACTCCTGTGCAGCGTGCAGTGTAACCCTTACACAACCTAAACATTGGCGGGAAAATAAATAAATAAATATATTGGCGGGAATTTGTCGTCTTTCAGAATCCCATCCCTGTCCTCCACCCCAGTGTGGGTTAAGCCACCAGTACCCCTGGAGGTAGGTCTTAGGCCCCCTCTGGGCCCACTCTGACGCAAATGCATATGGACCGCCGCGGCGCACAGATTCAGCCACCGCGTTAACGGCCTAAAAATGTGGAGGTACTGGTGGCTTAAACATCCAATGGTGCTCGACGCTCTGGTTTGCATGGGTGAATTTCGTCAATTGTGCTCGACGCTCTGGTTTGCATGGGTGAATTTCGTCCGTCCACTGATGACCGGGCGTTCTATTAGGGTGAAGACGGTACCACGAGAAAGCAACAAGGCAAGAAGTATGGAGCTGAGTGGCCGTTTCCGGTCTCTTAGGGCCAGATCCCACTGGCAAAGAGGATTGTAGTAAGTGTCTGAATGTGGACGTGTTTGTGGACAGGTGCAAAAATTTGTGATTGATCTACTTTTCTGCATCTCTGCCTGGAACATGTCCAGATTCAGACACTTCTTCCAATCCTCTTTGCCAGTGGGATAGCATGTTAGGAGCTCGGCAAAATGACCCTCTGTAACTTTGGGAGGAATGCTTTTCCTTGCAGAAAAAAACAGAGAAAAAGGGCCGCAAAAAAAACAGAGAAAAAGGGCCGCAAAAAAAACAGAGAAAAAGGGCCGTAAAAAAAACAGAGAAAAAGGGTCGCGCTCCACCACTAACCAAATGTGCGAAATGAGAAGGAATCTTCTCCTAGAACATGGGAAGATACACTGCCGTAACTCCTTTTTGTCTTTTGTGTGTGTGGTGGGTAGCGGAGCCAGGGCCAAAGTGGGTCACGTAACAGGACAGATATATAGAAACTGTTTATGAAAAACAAAGGACTCTGCCAACCGAGAGTCCACAGGATCCTAATCGAACGAGGCCGGCCACCGGGTATGCCCAGCCAGAAACATCATTTTATTTTCAGAAATGCAAAGAAAACGAGGCCAACGCTATGCATCCACACTTCCACCAACCCGGTACATCTGCATGCGACCTTCCCGCCGGCCTGTTCGCAGTCATCCACGGAAATCTCAATATTCTCAATTTCTGCAAAAAAAAAGTAGCAAGGTGTGAAGCTTCAACCCCCCCCCCTAAAAAATCCGTAGTATTGAAGCTTTGCGCCAATGCAAAGTGGCGAACTAAATGGCCAACAAATGATTTTTTTCAAATTCTACTGGCCGATGGGCAGCGGCATCCACGAAAAAAAAGACAATCCACACTAGCAGTCAATACGTGAGATGATCAACGACGCACGGATGTCACAGACGGCCGCACATGGTTGAAAATGGCGGAGCACAAGCGTAAATCGGACGTAGTGGGACGAGGCCCCTGGTGCCGAATAACCTGAAAAGCAAGGTCCCTGTTTTTTTTTTGTTTTTTTTTTCCGGAGTTTTCGGTCCCTGGAAATGACAATGAAATCCCCCCACCAAAGTCAGGGTACTCGGAGTTTTCGGTCTGACCAGCTGAAGCTGAACCGTCTTGCCCTTTCTCTCAGCAGGACACCACTTTCCCTTCTCTTCGACGTGTGGGCTAATGTAAAAAAAAACCCTACGCACTTCACCATTTGTTCCATTTTTCGTAATTCAAAATCACTGTAGCAGGATTGTGTGTTTTCATAAATTTCTGAGGGAGGAGGGGGCGGAGGAGGGGGGGCAAAAACGCAGCTCCGCGAGAAGGCCAACAGGGAAAAAAAAGAAAAGAAAAACAAGGACGAAGTTGCGTGTACAAAGTACCGTCATAATGGACTGATGGTGACGACCTTCAGAGGGGACCCAGCCCATTGGCTGAGTCCAGCACCCATCCTGAACAAGAGGCGACTGATTCGGTGGCTCCCATCCCATTATCCCATTAGCTGATGGGAGGGCCCTAAGCTGTTTTTTTTTTTTTTTTTTTTTTTTTTTTTTTCGAGTAAGCTACATTCTTCTCTCAATTTTACCTCACTCTACCTACCTACCAGTACTACTAATGATAGTCATGGAGGGAGATCCCACTAGCCATGTATGTGGGTTAGTGTGACGGCACTGACGGGTGTGGGACGGGTGGGGGACAGGTGAGTGGCAGCGTGAAATAGGGAAAATAAAACGCAAAAATACATTTCATGACCAAACAAATGAAGAAAAAACTGCGAAAAAGGAAAAGAAAGTGCTCTTCTCACAGATGGTGTCTGCTCCAGGCGGGGTGTCAGATGTCAGGGTATGATTCACTGACCATGGCTGTGGCAGTCGAGACGACTGCATGTGACTGGGCACACGGACCATGTTCATTGACAATAGTCTGAGGCTTCCTTGAAATGGGCCGCAGTGCACGCTGTTCGGTTGTTCTGACAGAAATTCACTTTGGCGAAGGAGGGCAAGAGTAACTCCATACACCATTTGCTGTAGGTGAGGGGATCGAACCCTCCCAAGCACCTCCCAAACCACAATCAATTTCCAGCGATGAAGCCATTCGTCTTTGCTTTCGCCGCGAGTGAAACGTGTGTGATTTCACGAACCAAAAAAATTGGCAGTGATTCCACGCATGTTTGGGACGGCGCTTGCAATCGCAACAGGTATTATAAATGTGGTCATGTAAGCTCACCAACGTGCCCTGGTCCCTCCTGGCTTCTCTCTCTCTCTCTCTCTCTCTCTCTCTCTCTCTCTCTCTCTCTCTCTCTCTCTCTCTCTCTCTCTCTCACACACACACACACACACACACACACACACACACACACACACTTTTGCTCACGCACTAACACGTGTCGGTCCCTGCTGGTCTCTCTCTCTCTCTCTCTCTCTCTCTCTCCATCCTGCTTTTGAACTTGGACGATTGATCCTCGTCGAAAAAGCAGAAAAAAGCTTTTCATAGTCAATTGAGAATGTTCTCAATCTTAAAAATGAATCCAAAAGTTTCACGCACATACAAGCTACCGGCTGCACAGCCGTGCCCTCACGGTACGTGCTAAAGGGACAGGGAGTTGCTCCAGCATGTGCACGATCTGTTTGCGCAAAAAGGAAGGGTCATACAACCGGAATGTAGGAGGGATATTCCTTCAGATTGATACCACCCATGTAGAAAACTGACATCCTTAGCTTTGAAACAAACATGGTCTTTCGCGTGAGAAAAGAAGAGGGGGTAGGGGAGTTCATACTCAAACAAGGTTCTCAGCCTATTCAAGACACTGGTGCAGCTGCAAGTGACCTGCAGGTGACAAACGACAACCCCAAATAGAACATGAAGTTGTATAACATCTGCATAACATTACTATTCTTACTCCAAACTACATACGAGTTTTTTCCCGCCAACATGCTACCTTCTTAACCCCAAAAAAACATACATACGTTTTATTCAAATTGCCTATGAAAAAAAATCGGGTTTTTAGAAATCGTTTGTTTTTTCCCGACTAAAACGTACGTTTGAATGTATGTTGTGCTCGAATACAACACACCTATGTTGTATTCGAATTTTTGCAATCTTAATTTCAAAAAATAATCAGAAAAATACGGGTAGTTGTATGAATGATGAGCTTTTGTCCTGTAGTAGCACAGGTAATAGTAGCCCAAGATAAAACAACAGAGGGCATTACTCACACTACCATCTTCACCCGAATAGAATGCCCGGTCATTATAGCCGTATTTGGTGCAGTTTTCAGTCTACATACAGCGATAATGACCGAGCGTTTTATTCCGGTGAAGACGGTAGCGGTTTTCTTCTCTTGTTTCTGGAGAGAATTGCAGCCAAATGCATACAGCTCCTGCTGTAAATGTGGTCAGATACCTAGTGCGAGTCCGCCCAGAGAAGGGATGAGGACATTGAGGAGGAGGTCAGTAGTTCTTTTTTTCTCTTTTTTTTTTTTTTTTCTTCTGTGCATCCATTCACATTGGAGAAGAAGAAGATAACCATTTATATATATATATATATATGTGGGAGAGAGAGAGAGAGAGAGAGAGAGAGAGAGAGAGAGAGAGAGAGAGAGAGAGAGAGAGAGAGAGAGAGAGAGAGAGAGAGAGAGGACCATTTTTGAAGTTACTTGTCATGCACAGCTGGGGTGAAGTCCCACCGCCCAAGTTTAAGTTTAGAAAACGTAACGTGTGACACCATTTTGACATTAATAAATTCGAAACAAGAAATTAAAAAACTGAAAAAAATCACTAGAAACAGCTTTTCTCTTTATTTTTAATTAAGTAACTCGGAGGAATGAAACACGTCTGGCACAGTCGGAGTGAATGTCTCCGTGGAAAAGGGAACTTCCCGTGGTGAGGGGACAGGAGGTCACCATTCATAAAATGGACAGGGACAAAATGGATGGCCAGATGCGTTCACTGCCCAAAGAAGGAAGAGAGTTTGATGCGAGAGAGCCAAACAGAGCTGTCAGACTTCCTCCGTTTCAGGGTGTAATGATGTCTTAAAAAAAAAAAAAACGAAAGGCAAATAAGTTGAGAAATGWACCCTACCCTCTGTAGGGTAGTTTCCTCAACGGAAAATGGTTTCCTGCCCAAACGGAAAGGGCCAAAGCATACGACAAAACGGATTTCACGTCAACGAAAAAATGTACAAAATGACCAAATCTAATAGGTTATTCTCCTGTATTTTGGTACCCTTAGATTCTCAATACATCAACGGCAGAGCTCCGTCCCACCATGCCACCCGTGATAGAAAGCTCAGCGTTGAGAAAACTCAACTTCGGCGGTGGGACTTCACCGCTGGGGTGTCGCAGATGTGCGCTTGGGCAGTGTTTTCACACTTTTTGGGTGACAGCGAGGGTCCTGCAGGAACAGGCGCGCCTAGTAGAAGTGAGACAGGCATCTTTCATTTTGGTGGAGGCTGCACACAGGGCATACTCACAGAGGGACCTTAAGTCACAAATATCTGGGGCGTTTGGTACCATTTATTTGAGCCTTTGGGTGTCCGTGCGGTCACACACGAATTCTGTGTCCACAAAGGACAGAGTCGCGGACTGCACGTAGTCACACTGGTTACAGCCAAAATATACAGTTTTTTTTGTTTTTTTTTTTGAATGCTGAAATAACACGCATGCGTGTTTTGCTCATGCACGAATTTCTTGAGATGCCTCACGGAGAAAGAAAAAATCGAAAAGGTAGAGGTGGTCTAAGGGTCCTTACGCGGCACAAAAGGGTCACCAAAGACTCAAAGAGTACATTTGGGTAGCGGGCCTCTCCAGTGTGACCTGAAAACTGCCTCAAATTTTGGGATTTAAGGTCATCAGGTTCCCATGTGAGTATGCCCACAGGGCTTTGCGTCTGAGCTTTTGTCTGGGAGACGAACATGCCAGGCACAGTTAGTGCAAGGGACGCGACTGCATGCTGGGAAAAGGCCTAGCCCCCCCCTCCCTCCCTCTTCTTGCCCTGCCTTCCACAGAGAAAGCGTTCCAAGACAAGAGCAGCAGTTTCTTAGCTTATGGTCCGAGATTAGCAACATGCTGAGCTCTGTGAGTGACCTCTGCAAGCCTGGCGATTCAGGCGTCGGAGTGCATGGCTACTGCGTCGTAGGGCATGGCTGCTGCATCCTAGTGTGTGGCTGCTGCATCGTAGGGCATGGCCGCTGCGTCGTAGGGCATGGCCGCTGTGTCGCAGGCCATGGCCGCTGCGTCGTAGGGCATGGTCGCTGCGTCGTAGGGCATGGCTGCTGCGTCGTAGTGCATGGCTGCTGCGTCGTAGGGCATGGCTGCTGCGTCGTAGTGCATGGCCACTGTGTAGTAGGGCATGGCTGCTGCGTCGCAGTGCACGGCTGCTGCGTCGTAGGCATGTGCATGACTAGTGTTGTAGCTCCGCTGATCGTGAATGTCAGGATAGTCATCTTTCGTTGGCATTGCGTATGAGCTTCGACTGATGAGGGGTTGGAACACGACACGAAGAGTGAGAGTTGGAGTCAAGTTCTGGAATGTACGCACTTCTTTTTATCAACTTCTCCTTCTGTTTTGGCAATCCTCCCCCCCGCCCCCCCCCCCACCAACTACCTTTACCCCCATGTCATCTGTTGCCCCCCGACGCTCCAAGCCACCACATTGCCTTCTTCTTTCTTCATCTTCTTCTTCATCTTCTTCTTTTCTTCTTCTCTTCTTCTTTCTTCTTTCACATACACACCTGCATCACACCTGCGGCGCACCTGCAACACAGCTGGTTACCTCCCCTGACTCCAACACACGCCCCTGAACCAAATGTGACATTCAACTTTTTCATTGCAGTTTCGGGGTCCTCCGGGGGAGCAGAGCAACCCCCTGCCTTCCAGAAACAAAGAAAATTCGAAGACTTTCCGGCCCGCCCGGTTTTGCGGTGAGGACCCCTCCAGGGCCCAACAGCCCGCGCATATTTCCAGCCAGGCAGCAGCCCATCCCATATGCCAATCCTGGGATTTCCTCTCTCAGTTGTTTATTTGGCATTCTCGCCATGCCATAGAGAACTTCCCTCGGAACAAGGCCAAAGGGGCATTCTCCCAGTCGCTAAGGCGCATTCTATTCGGGCGAAGACGGTAGCACTGCTTTCCTCCCCCCCCGCCTCCTCCTCATGCACTTCTAATACTGCTACTGATTCGGCACACGTTCAATTCGCGGGTAGAACGCCCTCCTTTCAACTGCATCGCTACTGACTGTGAGCGGTGTCTGGTTCAAGAGGGTGTTGCTGCTCCAAATGCGCCAGCTGTGGATGCGACCAGTGTGAACGACTCCGCTGCAGATGCTGCTGTCGCTACCCTCTTCTCCCCAACACAACGCAACCTGATGTTGAATGCACACAAGATGTCTTTCCAGTACAATAAAAAAACAAGGTCATGACGGGGAACATTAGGTTTGCGGAAAGATGGATTCCGCCCCTTCTAGTGTTGCTCCTGCCAGCAATACTAGAAGGAGCGGAATCCATCTTTACGCAAAGGGGTGAGGGAGGAGGGGGGGGAGAAGGGTTGGGTTCAAAAAAGGGCGTCGACTTCGAGATATCATCATTTGAACCCACCGGCCCAAGGCAATTCAAAGTTCTGTCCATCTGATTGCATCTGGATTCTGGATTCTGGATCCGTGCATGCACCCGCACTTCAACAGTTCATGCGTGTACCCCTGAGCTAGGCCCGTCGCTACGACCGAGAGGGGGTTGGGCTTTCATTCATTGGAGGAACGAAAAAGAAATGCACGCACAGACAAGCCGGAATCGCGGGTGATAACTACAAGGCACCACGTGCACTCGGCGATCCAAGGTGCAGCCAGGCGGCCGATACAGGATCTCACAAGGCGCCCCCACCCCCTACCCACATTCTCCTCTTCTGACGGTTGATTGTGAAGATTGATTAGCAGCTGGAGACAAATGATCCAAGTAAAGTAGATCTCGCTGATTGTTGCCCACAGGTGTGCGCCACCGAACCGAAGTGGATGGAGCCGCAGACATATATGTAAAACTCGATAGCCAGGGTCACAGGGCGCAAAGAATTGAAATTTAAATTTTGAATGATCTGAATAAACAAAACGTACATAGATTCTTCTTTCAAACAGAGTGGCATGTCCGCAAATCTTTCAAATCCCATGACGGCAGTCTGACATGCCTGTACATATGTGTGTTGTCGGTCTTTGACGCACTCATCAGGAGACAAACAGTGTCGAGGTGCAAAACCGACAGCTGCCAACTTCACTCACACGAACCCTGCAATCACAGCAGAGTGTCGAGGTGCAAAACCAAGACAAATAACAGAGTAAGTTTGAGAAACTCGTCTGTCACAGCGACAAAACCCACTCCACACACCCAGCCAGCCATGCGTAACCACTGTCATGACTGCTAGTACGGTCCCAACCCTGGCCACACTACTCTGCCTGGACGGACAGCTTGGAATAGCTGTGTTGGGTGTCATTATGTTTGCTATCTGTGTGTGTGTGTGTGTGTGTGTGTGTGAGTGTGTGTGTGTGTGTGTGTGTGTGTGTGTGTGTGTGTGTGAGAGAGAGAGAGAGAGAGGAAAGTCAAAACTGCAACCAGGTTCTGCCAGGGAAGGGCATCAGGAGAACAATGCCATGAAATTGGAGAGAGGGACAGAAGCTTCAAACATTCAACAACTCTTAGATCCCATGCCACCCCACATATCGGAAATGAGCAAGAATGTGCTGCTGTCATCGTAAAATGCCAAACTACACTATCTCTATCTCTATCTCTATCTCTATCTCTACCTTTTTAATGAAGAAGAATGCAACCTATATTTCTCTCTAAATTTAGAATTATGAAGGTGGAAAAGTCCTACGCACAGAAAAGCGGCTGAACAAACCGATCCATTGCTTAACATGAGTGACGTAATGTGCTGCTGTCATCGATAGGATGAGCTAAAATCCAATGAATCTCATTCGACTTGAATTCCTTGTATATTCAATAGAGCGAAACTTCCCGGCTGAGCAAAACATCGCAGCGGTACCCGAGTGAGTCCTCGTCAAACCGTAAACAGATAATCACCTATCTTACGGCTCTCTATTCCATTTGCATTTGCATCTGCTTTGTCATTCCTGCCTCTTGTGCATGTAGAAGCAACGATGAAAACGACGAAACCCTCCTGAAGCGACCGACCTCGCTGAACCATTTGGGTTTAGGGGAGACAATGCAGACTAGACCAAGACAATCGACAGAAGCGCAAACAAAAACCGCAGAGGTGCAGGGAACCAGTTACACCGCTGTGACTTCGACGACTCAACTCCATTAACGGGGGGGCAGTTTATAATTAAAAATGATTAGGGGCCTATTTTCACAAACAGGACTTTCGGGGGCGCACGTATTTGGCCGCAATTATGCCCAGGTTCAGTTTTTTTTAAAGCCCTGGCATCAGTGCTCCCCAAGCTCCTAAGATCTGATCTTCGCCACAAGCCGCCGCATACCCCCCAAAGGAAAGCAAAGCAGTCTCAAGAAGGCACTAACTACCCTTCGTCACCCGAATAGAACGTATTCTCATCATCGCTCGCTGTACCTGACCGACAAGTCGCCCAAATGCAGCCAAAATCGCCGTACGCTCTATTTGCCCGAAGACAGTAGGCCACAACCGATCAACTGCAAGTACGAATTGAAACGATCGGCTCAAAGCCTGTCAAGCTGGCCCCCTAAAAAAACAACCCACCCACCGAGTAGAGTCTGTACAGGCCCTCCATTCGCACACGGGCAAGGCAGCCATGGAACAATTCCACCCCACTTTACCCCTTTAAGAAAAAAGCAGGCCTCGGCGCATATTCCAATGCTCCATAAAAAGTGGAGCGCGGCACAAGTCCGCCTTGCAGGGTCGTGAAGTCTCTGGACTCTTGTGCCGGGCAAGATCAGACGGAACTAAACCACGCCTGAAGTCGTGTCAATCCCCGCGGCGACGCGGTCAGATGTAACCAAAGGCATAGACATTCCGGATACGGACGGAGACAATAAGACATGGGAAGCAACAATTCAAATTATAAAGTAGCACATCAGAGGCAACGGCTCTGACGCAAGTCGTCTGAACGGTCTGCAGTGTGACTCTGCACCTACACCACAACTCAGATATAGCATCATACTGTGCAATGGCATATAGCGAACTCCTCACGCAGCCCTATCTTACTACTTATAGGCAAACCACCCGCTCAACTGCCAGCATCCGCTGAAATAAGTGGCCATATCTGACATGACTACCCTCAGCAGGAGGATGAAGGAGAGAGAGCGCGATTTGCACCTGCCTTCGTGTTGAGAATCTTCGCCCGAAACACAAACAGCAATGGCCACAGAAATTTCCCCTTCTGCGCGCAGTTTGCTTGCCTAATCGAAAAGACTCCCGACTTCCGTTCATCCGGTCAAAAGCAGCAACGTCTACTTCCTAACGAAGAGTACTCAACTCCTCGAAGAGCAATCAACTCCTCGTCGTAGCGCTATCCGAGTATTAATTGGTAGTAGCAATTATTGCAGATTCTAATGCTGCTGCAAGGGTCATTGGTGCTAATCACAGTATCGCCATTATTATAAAATATAATAATGGCGATAATCTGACCTGCAGTGGCCATTTGCCGCACATAAACCTGCTTGGGACCACATCCGGACGCAAAGGCCGCCAAGCAACGCAGCAAATCCTGCTCAACCAACCCTCCACCATTTAGCAATTGAGGAAGGAAGGAAGGAAGGATCAACACAAAACACAATCACTTTCTTGATTATGCAGGCTGCCATGCCAAATCAGCAGCCTTAAATACATGGCATTCGACACCACCTTCTTTCTTTCCCCGCTCCCTCTTCAGTTCGGTCCTTTCCATCTTCCCGCTGTCCATAATTTGTCCTTTCCTCCCTTTCCCTATGTACTATTCCCTCCCTCCATCCCCTTCCTTCCTCCCTCCCTCCTTCCTTCCCACCCTACTTCCTTCCTTCTCTCCTTCCGTACATCCGTCTGTCCCTCCCTCCCACCCTCCTTCCTTCCTTCTCTCCTTCCTTACATCCGTCTGTCCCTCCCTCCCACCCTACCTCCTTGCTTCTCTCCTTCCTCACATCCATCTGTCCTCCCTCCCACCCTCCTTCCTTCCACCCCTCCCTCCCTCCCTCCGCCTTCCGTCCGTCTGTCCCTCCCTCCCCCCTTCCTTCC